GAGTGTCCCACAAGAGTGTCCTACAAGAGTGTCCCACAAGAGTGTCCTACAAGAGTATCCCACAAGAGTTTCCTACAAGAGTGTCCCGTAAGAGTGTCCCACAAGAGTTTCCTACAAGAGTGACCCACAAGAGTGTCCCACAAGAGTGTCCTACAAGAGTGTCATTTGGACATATGTAGCTTTTCGAACATGTTTGCATTCGGGTTCGTGGGCTCCATCTTGTTTTTTTTCGATCGTGCTGCAATCCACCTTACTCCAAATGTTTCATCAGCACTAATGTGTCACCAGGCCTGAGCTCCTGAACACCATCTCCAGTTCAGTCGGAAGAAGCAAATACGCATGTACGTGTGTATGTATGCCTGTCTGTGAAATGTGAAGAAACGCAATGCCAGTATGCAACGCGATGCATGCCTGGTTGTCATGTAATGTAGGGTAGGGAAAACCTCATGTAATGCATTATGTATGTTTCTTTGTTTTTACTTTAGCTCACTTTCGTTGTGTGTGGTCGTTTGAGTTGTTCCCCACCTGCCAGGTGAGGGTTGTTAGATTTTATCACAGTTGTTCTTCCTCCGCCTCCGCCGCCTCCTCGCCCTCCTCCTTCCTCCTTCCTCCTTGCTTCCTTCCTCGCCAATCTGCTTCGCCGATCTTGTCTGGCCAGCTCCGGATCGCAGTGTGCACCCCTGGACCTCAACCGCAAGGATCCCCTCGCAGTGTGCACCCTGGACCTCAACCGCAAGGATCCGATCGCAGTGTGCATCCCTTGACCTCAACCGCAAGGATCCGATCGCAGTGTGCACGCCTGGACCTCAACCGCAAGGATCCGATCGCAGTGTGCACCGCTGGACCTCAACCGCAAGGATCCGATCGCAGTGTGCACCGCTGGACCTCAACCAGATAGTTTGCCAGATAAAATCCACAAACACACAATCACAAACACGCGACCACAAACGCGCAACCACAAACACACAACCACAAACACAATCACAAACCCACAATCACGAACACAATCACAAACACACAACTACAAACACAACTACAAAGACACAATCACAAACACATAACCACAAACACACAACCACAAACACACAACCACAACCACACAACCACAAACACACAATCACAAACACAATCACAAATACAATCACAAACACGGAACTACAAACACAATCACAAACACACAACTACAAACACAACTACAAAGGCACAATCACAAACACACAACCACAAACATACACACAAACACAACCACAAACACATCCACAAACACAATCACAAACACACAACCACAACCACAAGTACAAACACGCAATCACAAAAACACAACCACAACTACAAACACATAATCACAAAGACGCAACCACAACCACAACTACAAACACAAAATCACAACCGCTACCACTACCACAAACACAACCACAAACACACAACCGCAAACACAACTACAAACACACAATCACAAAGACACAACCACAACCACAACTACAAACACACAATCACAAAGACACAACCGCAACCACAACCACAACTACAAACACACAATCACAACCACTACCACAACCACAAACACACAACCACAAACACAACCACAAACACGCAACCACAAACACACAACCACAAACACAACCACAACCACAACACAGCACACAACCACAGCGCACAACCCGAGGACCCACAAGCAACATCGAGAACTACAATACTAACGACTATGGCAACGTGCTCCTCACTATGGCATCAAGACAAATGATTGAAATGTCATGGTGGAGATCACTCGAAGTAAAGATATTGTTTTGTTTTTGCTTTTGTTTTGTTAGTTAGTTTCTCTGTTTGTTTATTCGTTCGTTCATTTGTTTCTTTGCAATACCCTACGTTGAGTTCACTTCCACTATTGGCTGAGCCTGAGCATCGTCCCAGCCAGCTGAAATTCCAACTGATGATATCTTGCTGATTTGCATTGCTGCCGCCTCTCAATATGCACAGGTTCTCATCAGCGCACGCAACGCACGTTTTCTGATGTGCCGAGCCGGGCCGTTCCGGCTGCCTCATCATACGTCTGGACACAACGCCCGCGCAAGATTGCACCACGCCCTGCACGGCCCAAGTGTCGCATTGCCACAGGTTGGTTGCAGCTTGCCCTGGCACCTGGTCTGTCGGTTGCGGACCCCAAGATTTGTTGCGTCTTCCGCTTTAAGCGAGCTCCACAAGAAATAGGTGGCGTGAGCGGGTGGTCCAGCGTGCATGCAGCTTCCAGCTTTCATCGCATGAGGGCAAGCCCACGAAGCCCTCAAAATCTTGACAAACGGTCCGCCGTCCGCGTTCGGGCCTGTGGTGATCTCTCTTGAAGAACTTAGAAGCACTGTGTATAAGTCTATTCGATGGTGCGTGCGTGTTTTATGGAGCTGAGGTTTATGGCCGCCTATGATGGGAATTGTGCCGTGGTCCCTTGGGCTCAACGAGTGGTCCTTGCGAAGCTGGCCAATGAGAACCCATGGGTCGTGTATGGCCTTGTTTTATTTCCAATGTGATGGGGCAATTAACGCCAAACCCACCCTGAATATTCTGCCCTGGGGCAGCTTACAACGTCAAGAGGCAAGAACTTTGAAGCGTCACTCCTAGTTGCCAAAAATCCCCACCACCCTAACCCAACAAGACACTGCCTGATCTTACTGTGAACATTTTTAAAATTTTTCAAGATACATCAACGCGTCCTCCTGCATGCAGTTTTGTGGGTTTCGTGGCCGCTACCGTTACCGCTTCCGTGCAACGCCTTGCTTTTCAGGTCCAACATTTGCTCCGCTTCGGCGCCCAAACAGATCTCGCCACCGAAGACGGCCGCACGCCGCTGCTCATCGCCGCCGGCCACTGGGTCGCTGTGCATGGGTGCTATGTTGGGGTGATGCACGGTGTTCGGTTGATGGTTTGGTGCAAGGAAAACCATGACAAACCTGCCCAAGAGTGAAACAATGTCAGCCAAGCACCCAGTCAATTGTTTCAAGTGAAGATATTGATCCACCATGATCCACGCAGTCTTGGGGTGTGTTTTGTTTTGAGCTAGTCATTAACATCTTGGTCTGGGGGTATCAAAAGAATCCTTTTGGTTTGGTGATTGGCTGATTTGGTGATACTTTGGTGGTGCTGCAGACCTTCTCATCAGCATGATGTTTGTCCATGCCCTGGATTCACTGCCACTGACATCCTGATGTTTCTCCATCCAGAACTTACAGTGAACCTACCCCAACCATGTTGCCGTCGCGGACCAAACTCAGGGAAAGGCTACTTAGACATTGTCCGGAGCTTGTTGAATGCCACCTGCGATGTTGGACGGGCAGATCGGTATGGCCACAATGCCCTGTTTAGCGCCGCGATGAACGGGATGCTGGGGGCAAAGTTTAGTTGCAGTGTGTTTGTTTTTTTTTTGAATTGCTCTTGAGGCATTCGAGTTTGTGGTTCGGAGGTTTGTGTCTATTTTTGCTGGTTTGGACGCGTTTGGTGGGTTTGGTGGTGGTTTGCAGGGCATCATCCAACGAATCTTGGTGCTTTTGGGTCAAATCCAGTTAGAAGGATCTCGATGGAAGGCATGCAGACTCATTGCATAGCGGCGTAGCACCGTGAATGAATTCCTGACATGGAAACTTACTTGAATGAATTCCTGATCAGAGCGGTTGCTTCGAGCTTTCGTTGATGCTGCGGATCCATGGCCCCCCTCACTCTCTGAAGAGACCCAGAACATGGACTGGTCGCATTTCAACGGATTCGCTCGGAAGAAAATGCAATCTGCCAAATGACTCAGAAGGGAGATCCCCATCTCTGTGTTCTCCAATCCCAAAGATCTCCCAATGCCATCCCAAAGGGGTTCTTCATGGTCGATTCGACATCCCAGGAACCTGGCAGTGGTCCAATGCTTGTTGGATGCCGGAGCGGCCACGCACGAACGCGGCCGGTCAAGAGAAGGACTCTCAAGACGAGAGAAAAGAGATATCAAAGCACAGTGGCATCTCTGTTGCTGCCGCGATGGCCTCCATCCTAAGAGCGATGGCCTCCAACCTAATCGCTTCCAAGCTAGAAGCTTTGTGGTGTTTCGGATCTTTCCTCGATGGACTTCAGGAGATCCCTTGATCGTGGCGGCGGAGAACAACCACTTCGACGTCGTGAAGGCCCTGCTGGAACATGGCGTCGCCGATGAGAAGGCCGGTCACCGAAACAAACCGAGAGTTCTTTTTACTTGTTTCTACTAGCTTCTTGTGTGTGTGTGTCACACCCTGATTCTAAGGGTTCCCCACCTTCACGTTTTTCACTTTGACAAGAGTCTCACAAGCAGGGGCACTGAGCACTCCTTGGCAAACTCAGTGCAACGAAGCTATGCCTTGGAGTGGGAAGCACGGATTGATCACCCGTGTGTACCTGCAACAATTTGGAACTGTTGAACACGCTGTCCAATGTGCTCTTTTTGTTTCCATGGTTCTTCATGCTACCTACCCCTCAAACCATTTTCTTTCAGCCACTTTCAGCGTTATGCATTTTCAGCCGCTTGTGCAGTGCGAGTGAAACAATGTTTAACACTTCAAGTCACCGGACCCTTTCACCTTGCTGTTCCATCGCCTTCCTTCCCATCGTGGCAATTGAACTAACTGAAAACCCAAGTTCGAAGTGTGACCCGCTCAGTCTTCCCACTCGGGTACTGGGTGTGATCCTCCGCAAGGAGGCGCTGAATTCATACTGGAAATCACCGACCTCCTTTTTCATAACTGTTTTACTCAATTCCATCTCTGAATTTCCTGATTTTCGAGCCGCCGGGCTATAAGCGACGGAAGATCACCCACAAAGCCCTGACCCTCGTTCATGTAGTGCAGTGTCATTTTCCTTAATTCTTCACCCGCAGCTGTTTGACCGATGATCAACGCATGCATGCTCACTTTCACGAGACCACATTGCATGCTGAGTTTTCAACTTTTAATTTTTTCACATTATACGATCTCAGGTTTCAGATTTCACTGCCAATTTCACAAGCCTTGGTCAACCTCTACGCCCAAAAAGGGCATGACCTGCACGCGTGCAGGCGGTTTTTGAGAAAAAA